CAGGGAGAAAACAAATTGCATTTTGCTGAGATTAGGATCTATAGAATTCCAATCCGTAAGTTTCAATTGGTGTTGAATATTTGCGGGATAAATTATTAGTATTATATTATAAATCCCCACTATATAATAAAGGTATTTAATATTCAGGTAAATTTGGTTAAAACCTCCTCCCTCCTCCCGCCTCCCTCTTCCCTCCTTCCTCCTCCCGCCTCCATCTTCCCTCCTCCCTCCTCCCTCCTCCCTCCTCCCTCCTCCCTCCTCCCTCCTCCCTCCTCCCTCCTCCCTCCTCCCTCCTCCCTCCTCCCTCCTCCCTCCTCCCTCCTCCCTCCTCCCTCCTCCCTCCTCCCTCCTCCCTCCTCCCTCCTCCCTCCTCCCTCCTCCCTCCTCCCTCCTCCCTCCTCCCTCCTCCCTCCTCCCTCCTCCCTCCTCCCTCCTCCCTCCTCCCTCCTCCCTCCTCCCTCCTCCCTCCTCCCTCCTCCCTCCTCCCTCCTCCCTCCTCCCTCCTCCCTCCTCCCTCCTCCCTCCTCCCTCCTCCCTCCTCCCTCCTCCCTCCTCCCTCCTCCCTCCTCCCTCCTCCCTCCTCCCTCCTCCCTCCTCCCTCCTCCCTCCTCCCTCCTCCCTCCTCCCTCCTCCCTCCTCCCTCCTCCCTCCTCCCCCTCCCTCCTCCCTCCTCCCTCCTCCCTCCTCCCTCCTCCCTCCTCCCTCCTCCCTCCTCCCTCCTCCCTCCTCCCTGACCCAGGATGATAGTTTCAACTTCATCCCACCTACCCTGACCACACTCTATTTAACTCAGATATCTACATCGTGTGTAACTGATGTGCAACAGATTAAATAATTATAACAATCTGATTCCACCAATCAGGAGAAAAATCCCAGATTAGTTAAAAAATTTTTTTATAATCAAAGTATATTAAAATAGATTCCGTGGGATTGCTTTATGGGCCCTAAGAGTCTTATTATCCGGGGATGCGATGGAATATTGTTGAATTATGCAGTGAGAGTTTAAGTTATAACAATAGCCGCTAAGAATTAGACAATTTCCTGATCTCAAATACGCCTTTGATAATGTCAGAGGGTGGAAATGAGAGTCTCACGCCCTAAAGTCCCCCTCCCCCGCGCAGGCCGCGGCCCCATTCAATTGATCGATGAAAAATGACGGCCATCAACCATTGTTGGGTTTATGCGGCGCCCACGGTAAATTTGGACAATAGACCTGGCATCTTGACCACCGAACCACTCACAAGCCATTATGCTACTATACGGAACAGTTTCAGCACCATTTAAATCGATCGTTAGCCTTCTTGAGAACAAGTATTTTCCTGTAAAATAATCGCACTCTGCGTTTTCGAGAACAATGATTGGTTGAGTTGCTACACCAAGTTGTAAACGTGTCTTACGCCCTAATTATCCGAACCCATTTTTTACAGTGTCTACCCCTCTTAGTAGCTTTATGTGCCATTTTAAATTGTATAGTTTGGAATTGCGTTGATGGTATGACACGGAAACATCCCAATTAAATCGATTATTGTTTTTCGGTCGTCAAGAAGGCAAACAGATTGTAGACTTATCATGCTGTTTTCTAAGAATGATGAATGTTGATGGACAGGATGCACTGTTATCTGAAGATGAAATGCTATCTACAGTGAGTGCCTACTATTTGGAGCTTTAACTATAACCTCATCTCTAACGTTGTCACGTAAGTACCAACTTAAAATAATTCTTACTAGGAAAATTATCGGTAAAATATTAATAGCCATCTGCGTCATTAATCTGAACTTGAAGTTTATTCACATTAAAAGTCAGCTTAATTGTAAATGGCTTAACTGTAAATGGCAATATTGAAGAATACAGACAGTGTTCGAGACAGAGAAAGCTTCTTGGACAACTTTAATTCAGCTGTAAAATTGTTTTCGAAAAAAAAATTGAACTCTTTCTCGGAGCAGTGAAGATAAAAAGCTGCGGGACTATAGACGTCATTAACACCAACGCTAACTCTGAAGAAGATCAGACTTATACCATTCCCTGTGGAAACTTGGTGGGAGACACAGTTGTTGTTCAGGGCCGAGCCAGACAACACCTGAACTTTGCTGAGATCAGGCTCTATATTACTTTGATAGGTATAAAGCAATGAAAGGCATTAGTTTGGTCAAATCAAACGGAACATATGCTATCAGACTTTCAACTGACTATGGCAGGGTTAAAACAGTTTTAACGCTAGCAACGATCCCCTTTTACATAGTTCCACTAAAATGATAATTTAAGATTAAATATGTATACTGTAAAGTGATAGGTAGATAAACTAAAAAATGTAATAAAACGGTAGGAACAAAGTATACTAAGCAAACGTAGTGGATACGTCATAAAACGAACTGCCCCAAACTCCAATTACTCCCGCGTAATTTCCCGCGTAATTCTAAGACTCCGATTTGCGCCGCCGCAAAGTTATTATAAAACTAAATTCAACACGTGCGACAAATATTTTGCAACATCAGAAAAGGATGCCATAGGTCAAGCTATGGCATTAATATATTTCCACACCCAATACCAAACTTATTCTTTAGCCCGTGCCTCTTTACCACTGATAAGTATATTTTACTAAGACGATCCCGTCTAAAACCCAACTCAATTAAATCATCAGTAAAACTTTAAAACTCTATCAGAAAAAGCAACAACGTTATTACAGATCCTAGAATATCTCACAACCTGTGAACAGTACGTGCCATATAATACACTACTAGCTTGATTACTCATCAAAGGTTGAAACTTGACCACTTTAAAACCAAACTTATCCCTTTTATCATAAACTCTACAAGAAAACTTCCCCTCGCTATTTATCGAAATATCAAGATCTAATACATTGGCGGCACTATCTACTTCAATTTCCTTATTAAGAGTAAGAGAGTCTGGATATATTAACTTAAAATATTCCTCTAAGTAACCATCAGAGTTAAGGGTAGTAATATCATCTATAAGTCTAAAAGTATTATTTAACTTCTTTACAATATAGTATCTACTTTTATACGTACTGTCTAGGAAACTGTTCTCAAAATACCAAAGTGTTAAGTTAGCAATATATGGACCAGGGTTGATTCCAATAGGTACACCGATATGTTGCCGATATAAGATCTCTCCTACTTTAAAGTAACAATTATCCAGTAGAAACTCAACACATTTAATCAACTTAACTTCATCAAAAGCCACAGTCCCATCTCTAAAGCTATTAACCCAAGCAGACCCTTTATCGTAAACAGCTATAAACTTCTTTTTACTATTCCTAAAGGCTAATTTAACAGTAAACTTGAGAGCATCCTTGATATCTTTATGGGCTAAATTCGTGTATAAAGTAGAAAAATCAAAAGTTTGGATGTTTCTCGCTAAGCTATTATCATTAATTTTATCTAAAGCTTCTAAAATCGGTTTATTATTCAAAATGACCCAATTCCTATTAACTCCTGTTACTTTAAACAACATGTTAGTATATCTGCAGATCTCTGAATAAACAGCCTTTAAGGCTAAAGAAATCTTTACTGCCAAGGGCTTAATACTACAATTAGCATAAGAAATAACATACCTAAACTTTAAAATTGGCTTATGAAATTTAGGACTCGAAAACATGTGAGGTAAATTATCAATATTAGAATCTACTTTTATCCCAACGTCTTCTATGAACTTGAAAATATCTTTGTTAATATCACGAACTTCATGCTCCCCACTAACATCATCAATACCCTCATTAGATTGACACTCTTGTATAATATCACTTAAATAATAATGTTTACAAATAATAGCGACGTTCTTAGTTGCTTTGTCCACCGGACATAAAACAAAATACTTTCTGATAAACGCTAATTCTTCACAAGCTTTATCATTACTAAACACAGATTTCCGTTTAAGCTGTTTAGGATATTTCATTTTAAGAGCTTCAGTATTCTTCTTAACAATATCACTAAATTCATTAAACCAACCATTTAAACATGCACTATCGATTTTCTCTTTCCTACTCCAAGGTTTTAAGATTTCTTTAACATTATCTATTACCGAATTACAATTCTTATCAAAATCAATCGTTTTAGGTTCTTTATAAGAAGGACCTTTCTCTAACAGACTTCTCAAGGCGTCGTGCTTTACAAAATTAACATCCCCAGTCACAACATGACCACATAACAATAGTATGTTATATGTAATAGGTATGTTTTAGGTATGTTATAGGTATGTTATATTACTTTTAAATAGGTATGTTATAGGTATGTTATATTACTTTCAAATAGGTATGTTGATTTAAATCTGTTCGGGTGCGGGGTAATTTTCTTGATACTATAAATTTTGTGAATTCCCCATATATTACACCCAGAACCCCATCCTCCCTCCCAAGATTTATAGGTGGTTTATTATTACCTCCCTCTTTCCTTATCTTCACTGTTCTTAACTAAGATATTTACCTGGCCTGGTGTACAACTAATTGTTTGGACATCCATCAGGACCAAAGTCACAGGCTTTGCCAGAGATTCACCAAACATAAGTAATATAACGAAGCTACAATTTAAAGTAATAATCTAAACCATTTAGCAAGATTTGATGAAATGAACTGGAGGTTAATGGAAATTGAACACGGATTAATTTCAAGCTAAATATCTTAAAACAGTCATGTAATAATTAATATTAGTGATATTACTGACAGGTTTAAGCTTCGTTATAGCCGGTAAAATCAAAATGTTCATTGTTCATGTCTGGAAACGGTATACTAGACAAGATTTTATTGGTCATCATTTACACTTACACAGGGCAGCCTATAATTAATATGGATATCTGTGTGTATTTTATTTCACTGACATCGCGTAAATATCAACAGTCCTAAGTTTATTAACTGTGTCTCATCACTAAACCTTCCTAAGTTAAACTCTCGTACCTTACCTGAAGGCTGAAGGGGTTATTTATATAAGTGATACGAAATGTTTGTTTAGCAGGATCTTTCAAAATACATGTGTAAATCGTCTCCGTACCTTATCTTGGGGGACAGGAACAGGTGAGCCACTACCATCCTCCTCCAGAATCTCCAGGGACAGATCGAACTCGTAGTGCAGTGTGTCTGAGATACTGTTCTGCGGAGGAAACTGCTTTAAAACAAAGATAGAGTGGACTAAGACAGAGTGTACTGGTGTGAGTGGGATGGGAGTGGGATGTGTGTGTATAGAGTATCACTTACACTATACACAGTGTATAGTGTACGTGATACATTTAATCTGTTGATTAACGTTATATTCACAGCAACAAAAATAACCGATCGTTTCTCATTTCAAACAAATTATAGATAGAGGGGCCAAATAAAGCCACATGCTGTTAATTTATTCTTGTAATTTTATTTCCATATAGCTTTTAATGATATTCCTAATATTTGTCCATAATGTCTGAACCCATATGATATTAATACATTTGCCCATAAATTCTGAACTGATATAGAAGAAGTGCATCATATTTCCATTCTTAATCTCGCTGGAATGACCTAGGCTAGGTGTGCATCTTCATTGGGTATATCTTAATGTCGAAGCGTGTAATAAATGTTAGAATTTATTTATCTAATTATAATTATCTAGTAAGAATTTGTGAGTGATCATGTTCTGCCTTCGTAAAAACGTGCACTGCCTACCTCAGCTGAACAGACCCCCATGCAAAACAAGGTGCCCACTAGTACACCATTCCAGGGAGAATTAGATTGCAAACGTTTAAATGCTTCCTCTGCTCTCATCAAAGAATGTCCGCTACAACTTCCAAAGTTGTCATGTTCCAAGAAAAATGATAGCAATATTTCGCTATTTCATATACGGATATATTTTTGAAATTAAAATGTAAGTACTAACTACTGAATAGCTACAAAAGGAAGAAATCTAACGAAGATCACTGTCAAACTGCACTACTAACATTGCATTGTATCATATCAACTGGTAGGGATTTTATCTTCTTGCTGAAGACCCGTAATGGTGCCCTGGCTGTAAGTGTTAGGATTCATCCTTATTCCTTATCAGTTATCTATCTGGCTATATATTATATGATCGTATAATACTGTATATTATGTTGACGTATTCTTTTCTAGTGGCTACTAAATTGTATAGAGACTTGACTTGATACAAATTGTGACCACGAATGGTTTCATTAATAAACTTTTCTCGGATCACGCACGCACTCTCATCAACAGAATCAATATAAATGGTTTTTATTTCAGGCAAATGATTAACCGCAAACTAGACGAGATCTGGGTCACGTGATAGATTACTACTCAGGTGACCTCCCCTGTACGTGACACGTTCTCCCCTGTACGTGACACGTTCTCCCCTGTACATGACACGTTCTCCCCTGTACGTGACACGTTCTCCCTTGTACGTGTAACGTGATACATACTAGGCGTATTATAATACACGTACTACGTCCGATCACGTAGTTGTATGAGATTTGTAATCCTCTCCTTTTTTTTATTCAGTACTGAAATATTCAATTCATTTCATGACTCCACTTAATTTACTATTCGAAACATAAAATAATAAGGATATCCTCTAAATTTAAATCCAGTATCAAAGTATTAAGACGTTGAATCTTGTCTGTTTTTAAGCAAGATACGTCACTAAGAGGCAATGTATTTGGAGAATGGAGACTGGAGTGAAATAAGGTTTTTTTTTTTACATATTTGATAGATTTACAGATCTGGCTTGACAAAAATTTTCAGGAAAAATCATGTTCGCGGGAAGCAAAAATCCGATGAGTTTTTTAGGGGGGAGGGGTAGGGGGTTGAGGGGGGTTGGGAAGGGTTGTCACATGACGAGAAATTTTTTGCAAAAATTAAACAATCTTTATTTGTTGATATTATTCACCCCTGTTGCCTAGAGTGGTGGGTCTGCACTTGAGAAGAGTGGGTCTGGCCGCTAGAATGGTGGGTCTGCAATCTAGAAGTGGGTCTGGCAACCAGAATGGTGGGTCTACAATCTAGAAGTGGGTCTGGCAACCAGAATGATGGGTCTGTACCCTTAAAGAGTGGTCTGACAACCAGAGTGGTGGGTGTGCACTTGAGAATAGTGGGTCTGGCAGCTAGAATGATGGGTATGCAATCTAGAAGTGGGTCTGTTAACCAGAATTGTGGGTCAACACCCTTGAAGAGTGGGTCTGACAACCAGAATGGTGGGTCTGCACTTGAGAAGAGTGGTTCTTGCGGCTGGAATGGTGGGTCTGCAATCTAGAAGTTGGTCTAGCAACCAGAATTGTGGATCTGCATTCGAGAATAATGAGTCTTCACTCTAGAAGAGTGGGTCCGACAACCAGAATAGTGGGTCTGCACTTGAGAAGCGTGGGTCTGGCCGCTAAATGGTGAGTCTGCACCCTTTAAGAGTGGGTCTGACAACCAGAGTGGTGGGTCTGGACTTGAGAAGAGTGGGTTTGGCAGCTGGAATGGTGGGTCTGCATTCTAGAAGTTGGTCTGGCAACCAGTATGGTGGGTCTGACAACCAGAGTGGTGGGTCTGCACCCTTGAAGAGTGGGTCTGACAACCAGGGTGGTGGGTCTACACTTGAGAAGAGTTGGTCTGGCAGCTAGAATGGTGGGTCTGCGATCTAAAAGTGGGTCTTGCAACCAGAATGGTGGGTTTGCATTCTTGAAGAGTGGGTCTGACAACCAGGGTGGTGGGTCTACACTTGAGAAGAGTTGGTCTGGCAGCTAGAATGGTGGGTCTGCGATCTAAAAGTGGGTCTTGCAACCAGAATGGTGGGTTTGCATTCTTGAAGAGTGGGTCTGACAACCAGAGTGGTGGGTCTGCACTTGAGAAGAGTGGGTCTGGCAGCTAGAATGGTGGGTCTGCAATCTAGAAGTGGGTCTGGCAGTTAGAATGGTGGGTCTGCAATCTAGACGTGGGTCTGGCAACATGAATATTGGGTCTGCACCCTTCAGGCTTAAAGAGTGGGTCTGACAACCAGAGTGGTAGATCTGCACTTGAGAAGTGTGGGTCTGGCAGCTGGAATGGTGGGTCTGCAATCTAGAAGTTGGTCTGGCAACCAGAATGGTGGGTCTGCACCCTTCAGGCTTCAAGAGTGGGTCTGACAACCAGAGTGGTGGGTCTGCACTTGAGAAGAGTGGGTCTGGCAGCTAGAATGTTGGGTCTGCAATCTATAAGTGGGTCTGGCAACCAGAACGGTGGGTCTGCAGTCTGCACCCTTAAAGAGTGGGTCTGACAACCAGAGTGGTAGATCTGCACTTGAGAAGAGTGGGTCTGGCAGCTGGAATGGTGGGTCTGCAATCTAGAAGTTGGTCTGGCAACCAGAATGGTGGGTGTACGTACACCCTTGAAGAGTGGGTCTGACAACCCGATTGTGGGTCTGGACTTGAGAAGAGTGGGTCTTGCAGCTGGAATGGTAGGTCTGCAATCTAGAAGTTGGTCTGGCAACCAGAATGGTGGGTGTACGTACACCCTTGAAGAGTGGGTCTGACAACCAGAGTGGTGGGTCTGGACTTGAGAAGAGTGGGTCTGGCAGCTGGAATGGTGGGTCTGCAATCTAGAATTTGGTCTGGCAACCAGAATGGTGGGTGTACGTACACCCTTGAAGAGTTAGTCTGACAACCCGAGTGGTGGGTTTACACTTGAGAAGAGTTGGTCTGGCGGCTAGAATGGTAGGTCTGCGATCTAAAAGTGGGTCTTGCAGCCAGAATGGTGGATCTGCACTTGAGAAGAGTGGGTCTGCAGTCTGCACCCTTAAAGAGTGGGTCTGACAACCAGAGTGGTAGATCTGCACTTGAGAAGAGTGGGTCTGGCAGCTGGAATGGTGGGTCTGCAATCTATAAGTGAGTCTGGCAGCTAGAATTTAGTGGGTCTGAAATCTAGAAGTGGGTCTTGCAACATGAATGTGGGTCTGCACCCTTGAAGAGTGGGTCTGGCAATCAGAATGGTACGTCTACACTCTAGAAGAGTGGGTCTGGCAACCAGAATGGTGGATTTTCGCCCTAGAAGGGTGAGTCTGGAAACCAGAAAGGTGGGTCTACAATCTGGAATAGTGAGTCTGGAAACCAGAATTGCGGGTCTGCATTCTAGAATAGTGGATCTTCACTCTAGAAGAGTGGGCCTGGCAACCAGAATGGTAAGTCTACACTCTGTCAACCAGATTTGGGGGTCTATAAACTAGAATAAAGGAGATATGGCTACCAGAATTGTGGGTTTGGACAACCCGAATGGTGGGTCTTCACTCTAGAATAATAGGTCTGGTGGGTCTACACTTTAGAAGAGTGGGTCTGGCAACTAGATTGGTGTGTCTGCAATCTATAAGAGTGGGTCTGGCAACCAGAATAGTGGGTCTGCAATCAAGGGAATCAAGATGAGTGAGTCTGGCAATTAGAATGGTGGGTCTGCACCTTAGGGTAGTGGGTCTGGAAACAAGAATGATGGGTCAGAATTCTTGAATAGTGGGTCTTCACTCTAGCTAAGAGTGGGTCTGGCAACAAGAATGGTGGGTAAGAATTCTAGAATAGTGGGTTTTCACTCTAGAAGAGTGGGTCTGGCAACCAGAATGGTAAGTCTACACTCTGTCAAGTGTCAACCAGAATTGGGGGTCTAAACTAGAATATAGGATATATGGCAACCAGAATTGTGCGTCTGGAGTCTAGAGTCTAGAATAGTGGGTCCGGCAACCCGAAAGGTGGGTCTTCACTCAAGAATAGTGGGTCTGGCAATCGGAATGGTGCGTCTACACTCTAGAAGAGTGGGGCTGGAAACCAGAATGGTAGGTCTTCGCCTTAGAAGAGTGGGTCTGGCAACCAGAATGGTGGGTCTGCATTTTAGAATAGTGGGTCTTGACTCTATACCTACTAGAAGAGTGGGTCTCCTCTCTAGAAGAGTGAATCTGGCAACCAGAATGGTAATTCTTCACTCTGTCAACCAGAATTGGGGGTCTATGAACTAGAATATAGGAGATATGACAACCAGAATTGTGGGTCTGGACTCTAGAATAGTGGGTCTGGCAACCAAAATGTTGAGTCTGCACTCTAATAGAGTGGGTCTGGCAACTAGAATGCAGACACGTAGCCAAGGGGAAGACCCCCGGAAAAAAATTGAACCCCAAAAAAAATAGTCCCCATGGTCGCCTAGTAAGTGGGCTGTGTTTATGACTGTTTGATTAAACGACACAACAGGCGGGGGTGATGCAACGTCAATTAATGTCAATTAATGTCAATTAATGTCAATTAATGTCAATGTCAGTTTTGCAAAATTTTGGAATACTGACATTAATTGACACGATATTTTTCGACCAGAGATTATGTAGTTCTACCATATTTTTAGCACTTTAGAACGTTTATATCGTCAATTTATTCACTACTATCACATATGGAAATGTGAAATGTGAAAAAAATTCAGATCATTAAACAATAAAACTAAAATAATACGGTTTTCCGAAATTTAATTTTCTTAAATGGGCGTGGCCATCCAAGGGCGTGGTTCTCAACATCATCAGAACTTAAAACCCACATTAAACGAAATGCCTTCATGACATTTATATTTGAATAACGAATCTTAAACAGCTAACATTACTCCTTCATACTAAAAAAGCCGATTCTAGATATTTTACATGTATAAGAAACCAATAAAATATGGGCGTGGCCGGTGGGGACCGAAGATGGAAAAGTTGGAAGCTGAAATTTTTTTTGGAGGTCTTTGAACCTAAGGATCAACAGATAAGAACATACTCATAATTATTCAAGGACATTTTGTTTTTTTGAACCGGTCTAACTTACATAGACGTGAATATCTTGAATATTTATCGAATAATGATAATCTCAAATTTCAAGACAAATTAATGTCAATTAATGTCAATTAATGTCAATTAATGTCAATTAATGTCAATGTCAGTTTGGGGTTTTTATGGAATACTGACATTAATTGACGTTGCATCACCCCCCAACAGGCAATCGACTTTAGCATTTCGTAAATTATTCCCAAATCCCACTATACAATATGTACTTATTCAATTCAATGTGACAAGTACTGAGTTCCCCCCTAGCCCCCAACTTTGTATTATTGTGATGTCTGAAATTACAAATTTCTAATGCCAAATGTCGTCTGAAACACCCTATTTCTCAAAAATATTCCGGGGGCTGCACCCCCAACTTTGTATTATCGCCGTCCTACAAATTTCTTTAATGCCTAATGACGTCTAAAACAAATAATTTCTAAAAATTTTCTTGGGGGCTGCGCCCCCCCCTCCCAGTCCCCCAACTTTATATTATTGTGATGTCTGATTATTACTGCGCCCCCCAGCCCACCAACCTTGTATTATTGTAATGTCTGATTATTGCTGTCCCACAAATGTCGTCTGGAACACTCTATTTCTCAAAAATTTTCCGAAGGCCAGGGCTGCGCCTGCCTAGCCCTCCAACTTTGTATTATTGTGATGTCTGATTATAATTACTGTCCTACAAATTTCTTTAATGCCAAATGTCGTCTAAAACACATAATTTCTCAAAAATTTTCTTATTGGCTGCGCCCCCCCCCCCCTCCTTAGCCAACCAACTTTATATTATTGTGATGTCTGATTATTACTACCCTACTAATTTCTTTAATGCCTAATGTCGTCTGATTCACCCTATTTCTCAAAAATTTTCCGGGGGGTGCGCCCCCCTAGCCTCCCAACTTTGTATTATTGTGATGTCTGATTATTACTGTCCTACAAATTTCTTTAATGCCAAATGTCGTCTAAAACACATAATTTCTCAAAAATTTTCTGGGGGGCTGCGCCTTCCCCTCTCCCTAGCCAACCAAAGGAGCTTCGCCCCGGCTACGTGTCGTGTCGGGCTACGTGCCCAGAATCGAAAAAACTTAATCTTTAAATGAATAACGGAACCTTCTTTATGAAGTTACGAGATGATAATATAATTGGGAGGCAAAGTGGGTATCGGGCTTGGGGCTCATAATGCGCAAAATTTGGCCGCTGTCGAGTGGGTCTGCCTAAAATTCACAGATCTAGCTATGGGTCTGAGACATTTGTAAAAAAAAAACCTTAGAGTGAAATGATGCAATGAAAGTTGGGACCTTCGAAGTTTGATGCTGCAAAACTATGTTTTGGCCTTCAAAATATCTTCAAGACAGTAAATTACAAGTTACAGTATACAACATTGAAATTTCGATCATCCAAGATAGCAGCTTGGTAGATAATCACCTTTTCAAGACCTCTGTTGAATGTTGTAGCCATACAATTCAGCACCCTCATACACTGAAAATAGATTGTAATAATGACTAATAACAACTCTTTTCGTTAAATTTATAAATTATTTGATCTAGATAATATCAAGCGCAACCATGTTAGTACCGGCCCTAAGTACAATTTAGTATTAGTAAGCCATGCAGTTAATCGAAATTAAAGGTAGCACCGTCAATGAAATAGTGGACTGAGTAAATTATTCGTGAGATAAGAAGAAAAAGCATGGAATATGAGGCATACACTGCGAGTCATACCCCCCAATACTTACAATTTCTTTGTCCTTACACTTGAAGGCATGACAATAATACATTCCCCCACCCTTTTTGCCACTTGTAAAAGCGAAGCAGTTGGGCAGCTTGGCACTTTTCGTACAGTACAATATCTGAAAGAGAACAAATAACATGAAATATTCAAGAAAGTTTAGAACAGTATTGAATATGAAATTGTAATGTTATTTAAATATAATATATTATAATAACATGATCCAATGATCCAACACTTAATTTAAACTTGCTAAAGGAGCTGATCTAGTTAAAGTCCTTACCGCTTTTACTGGATCAGAGTGTAGATCCTCCTTCTTTTCATCTAGGATCCGAACAAAACCCTCAGGATCATGAGGGATTGCCAGAGTTACCTTGCTGTCAGTGTTGTATTCATGTAACTCGCCTATGATGGCATTTGCTTCTACGTTACTCACTGATGCTCCTGTAAAGAATTATTGTCAAGGAAGATTATCTTTATTATTGGTTAGCAGTACAAACCTGGGCTGGATGTGAATTCCAAACATACATATTCATAAGATAGAGCTCCTTTACACTGGAATTGCCATCGCAACATGAAACATTCTGCAACACTTTAGAACCACCATTTAAAATAAATATTCATTTGTGTTAACTGTTACAGAAAGTTTCATAATTAGATTAAACTGTAGTTGGAATTTTAACTTAATTCTGCAGGATTTAAAATAAAATACTATAACTTTGTGAATAGAGTTTCAGTATCATCCAAAATATATATAATGTATGTAACTTTTTACAGTTCTGAAACTCGTCCATTACAATTTTTGATGTTAGAAATATTACAGACACATCAAGAATGAGGGGCATACCAATGACAGCACGCCCCATGTAGTTGATGTTATCAAACAAAGTCGCCTGACTCATCAAATCATCCTCAGCTGACTCGGACACCACTTCCACTGTATTATCTGGGGTGTCCCTGCTTGCCATAAGTGCTATGAAATATAACGAGTTTTATTTGTATAGAGACATCAAGTTAAGTCAAATAAAGATTTAACTACCACCAGTTAACTGTCACTATTGATTGAGGTGCCTCCTGAAAATTGGGGCTTGATGGGACTCAATCTTGGGTTCAATCCTCATCAGGTCCTACTGTGACACATTTTCCTGCACTGATACCAGGTTATTGTTGATAGTTTGATTATCAGCTGTTACCAAAATCATTTCGTTTAAATGAATATTTAACCATACCGACAACTATTTCTCAACCCACTCAAAAGAGCGAAAACAGATTATTATTTAACCATGCAACTAGAAACCTGATTGAGCCCAATTCTCACACAGTTAACAGGGCACCCAATCAGCATAATAGGGTGCCAGATCAGCCTAAATCCCAAAATAACAACTTTGCCCAGGTCGTATTACAACTGCACCCAAATGCAACTACTTCACCCAAACTGCATAATTTTTTCAGGTTAGTTTTAGGGCATACCTTCACTCAGGCCTCAGATCCTGTGTTTTCTGATGCTTTTAAAAATAAAAAAAAAGAGAAGCAGGGCCTGGATGGCCAACAAGAGGATAGCATGAAGATTCTCTGCCTGAGGGCCTGCCTTGGCTCCGATCTCCTACCTTTCGATGCTTGAGCATTGAATCGTATACAGCCCTACACTATCTAGCCATGTTTAACAGCAAGATGTTGTACCTCTCACCTTGTAGCCTAGCTAAGACAGTGTTATGTTTAAACAAAAAAGATCCCACATGACCGACCGCACCATACCGTCAGCTAAACCCAGGACCTGGTCACCGAACTCAAGAAAACAACAATTTTATTTAGTATCAATTAAAGCAAACATAAATATATTTTATATTATATAACTAGCAGGACCTTTATACCAGATATATTAGGGACTTGTACCTATTACAAAAATACGTCAAAAAGAATCCAGGGTAATGAGTTTTTAGAGACAAGGCTCATATTAGGACCAGAAGAAAATTGATAGCAAGCATTAGGGTTGACGGATGTTACTCGTCTAAATTTCTTCGAAGTAGCGCGCGCCGCTTTCTTCTCCAAATGGCAAGTGCTACGAAGTAGCGCGCGCCGGGCCAGATCATTAACAATGGTCAAGCATTAGGGGTTTTGTTTATAGTTGTCACTATGGCATGCAGTCTTGTTGTGACAGAAAGTCTACACTATAATATGCGGTGGAGATATAATATAACATGCGCCAATCGAGATTCCTATAAATATTTTGCAATACGTATTCAAAGGCAATTTATAGACTTATTAGTTATACGAATTGATTTTGTAGCGCTTTTGTAGCGACGGTCTCTAATTTTGAAATTGATTGACGATGTCAACCCTTCCATGTTCCAGATCGTTGCTCGATCTTGTCTTGCTTCAATGCGAAGCAAGAATGCTAGTCCTCCAAATTTTAAAACAAATATTTTACGAGTATCACCCGTTAACTTTTTGTGTAAAGTAATTTTGCTTGATAAATAATACTCGTCTAAATCTTTTTCGAGTAGCGCGCGCGCCGCTTTCTTCTGATCTCGATATATTACTGCTACGAAGTAGCACGCGCTTGACCACAGGGGGGGCCGAAACCAGGTTTTCGCTCAAATGCTGCCATTTGTAGTCAAACATTGCCAACAGTTGTTCTCGTCCAATGAAATCGCTGCATTTTGCCTGCCATTATGCATAATCGAATTACATATATTCTTGTGGCGAAATGCACCATTGTGCCTCTTGTCATACGTTGTATGACCCGCCGCGCACGAAGTGCGCGGCTCCCCCTGTATCGTCACTATAGTGAAGCGACAGTGGGAGTCACTACGTGATACAATGTGCCTCACCGAGCTGCAAAGGCCAAAGATTGACATCGTGAATCAAAGATATTTCAAACGAATGTTTTAAAAGTATCACGCACCCGTTAATAACTTAAAATGCGCACGGCTTAGTTTGTAGCGCGATGCACTACTGGGTCGCGCGCGCATCAAATAATGCTTCTCGCAATCTTCGGTAGATCGGCGAGATGCACCACTGTGCCTCACCGAGCTGCGAAGGATTGACATCGTGAATCAAGGCTTAGTTTCTGTATCTTTTCCATGTGTGCCGTTTTGTTGTATCACGTTGCGACCCCACGGTCGTTTCACTATGGTGACGATACAGGGGGAGCCGCGCACTTCGTGTGCGGCGGGTCATACAACGTATGACAACCGTTTTGTACTTTTGTGTTGTAGGTTTATAACCTACCAGGACGCGCGCCGAGTTGGACTCGTCGACGGTCCTGGTAGGTCTTACCTGGGGACCCCAGGCTATTATGTTCATTAACATAGAATAGAGACTAGGCGGAATGACAGGCTGAGCGCGGCCCAGTAAGGTAGGTCAAAATACGAGTCAATTACGGCAGAAAAGTGCCGTAGATGCTGATTGGCTGAAAAGTTTGCGCCAATAGGAAAGCTTATATCGAGTCACTTGAGCTATGCGCGTCGTAAAATCTCTCTGCAGCTTGAAATTATGTGATAAAATCGAGCGCTTATCAATTTTGTCTGGTTTAGTAACTTCATTACTGGGCCGCGCTCAGCCTGTCATTCCGCCAAATCTTTATTTAATGAACATAATAGCCTGGGGTCCTCAGGTAAGTAACTTCACTTACTCATATATATATGGAACAAATATTTTACGAGTATCACCCGTTAACTTTGTAGTTTTGTGCTGCCCTCACGTACAACGTACTGCTGTTTAGTGTTCTCGCGTTTGCGCTCACTTACTCCTTTATAGTTATATTGGGGACCTCTTGTCATACGTTGTATGACCCGCCGTGGCCGTATAGTGAAACGACCGTGGGGGTCGCAACGTGATACAAGGGACCTCAGGCTATCATTTGCTCTAACCAAAGCCCTCTCGCTTGCAGTAGCGCGCGACCGCCGTAGGCGGCAAAGCTAAGCACTAAGGAAACAAGCGCGTCACGCAGTACGCGTATACACATGGCTATGTGAAGGCTATCATGTACGTTCATAATGAGATTCGGCGGAATGACAGGCTGAGCGCGGCCCAGTAATATAACACTAACTACTCCTCAGTGGGCTGTTCATTTGATAAAGTTAGTGTTAATGCATTACTGGCTCAGGCTGGCATCCCAACATTTTCTTATTCAGATCACCATCACTGCCCAATCAAAATTATACAATCAAAATCACTGCAGCCACGATCATCTGCATATGATCAAAACACAAAGCTTTGCAGTATATTTTTTTTGTTTGAGATAATTTGAATAACGTTACTGTAATGTTCCAAATTTGAAATTATATTTTAAATGCTCAAAAATGTAATTTTTGGAAACCTCCGCCCTTTTGTCATGTGATCGATTTTCGCTTTTGTGTCGTGATCGTCCTTCGCCCTCGATGGTTAACTTCGGGTGTCGTGACTTCCGCCCTCGTGACCGGTTTTCGATAGTCTTATTTGAAGTGTGGATATCAACACATGCTGACCATTTAATTGATGATATTGATACTCACAAATCATGAGTAAATCATATTTAGATTTTGATTATCTTGTATCTCGAGCGTAAGTAATTCAATTTGGAATCTTTATCACTATCAGCACTCGGCAGTATTAAACTCGTGGCAAAAGCAATGCCAATAAGAGTGAGAAACGTGTCTCCGGGCTAAATCCTTTTCTGTTTTCTCATTTGAAACCTTCTCCAAAATTTGTTAAAATTCTTTAATCTGTCGATTGCTCTATCCAGAGCCCTTGCGCTTGCAGTAGCGCGCGCTACTTGTTGTGAAACAAGCGCGCCTGCAGTGGCGCGAAAGCACATGGTTAGGTGAAATCTGTCGATACTCGTGGCAATAATTTGCGCTAGAAGTTAGGTGTAGTAACTGTAATGGTCCATAATTATAAAATCATGGAACATCCTCGATCCGAAGCAGTCATTGACATTAGTGACTGAAATAACACGTATCTGTTAAATATAAAGTTCTGTGGCCGGTGCCAGATGCTGATTCGAAACGTGATTGCTCTTTGTGTCTTTAAAATTTGCTGCTACGATCAGAACTGACCGATTTATTCGACTACCATCTGGAATTGCACCATATAGGTAGTATGTTTTCTATAGATATAGTATAGCTAGTATTTTTACCGTATAGTACCGCAATATGTAGTTAAGAGAGCAGACAATATTCATTTTGTCAACCCTCGCTCCGTACAGCTGCCGACACAAAGAATTTACCCGATCTTTAATTTTAAGGTAGGGAATTCAGGCTTCGATGAATTTACCCGATCTTTAATTTTAAGGTAGGGAATTCAGGCTTCGATGTTGCGGGAGTTATTATCAAGCGAATCCCTGACAATCTATGATCTAATTAGTTGATGTTGCGAAATTGCAGTTTGAAGTATAAAAAACTTAAATCGGTCGGCATTTTATAAAATCTTTACAGCTGGTGCCACGTTAATTTCGCTCTTCCTTTAATTCATATATTCCGTGGCCAAATTTTGCGAACGACTTGCTCATCGTTTATCGTAATTTGCCTCATATGAAGCTCGATTTCTCATTATTTAACATCAAAGCTACTATTTCAACTTCAAGCGTGTTCAAGGTCTATATCTAGTTCTACAAATTGTAGTTTTCTGTTTTAGTTGTGAAGCTCTAAAATTAGGTTGATAGCTCTTTCTGTATCTAAGACTTTAAGATTTACTTAATATAATTATAAACGTGCCTTGATCAGAATGAAATACAAATTCCTGGAAAGGTCAATCATCTTATTCCTGACCTCGATCTGTGCCAGTCAAGGTAAAACTAAATAATTCGAAGCAGAATTATTACTATTACCAATATCTGAATGAGGATAAAATGAAAACTTTATGATTACTTTTATGTTATCAGCGATAGTTTTTAATGGCTAAATTAAGCCCCTACTAAAAATGAAATAATAATAACAAAAACCGTAAAACTAGACATCTGACAAGTCTAAATGTAAACACATTGTGCAAAAATCATCGACGATAAAAGTAAAAGTTCAACTTTTGATTACGAATTACGATATTATCTTATATTATCTTATCTTAGGCCGATCAGAGGAGTTATTGTCGCACAAAAAGGAGGAGTTATTGTCGCACAAGAAACCGACTGCTCAGTCAGACACGTCATGGTTTGGACACAGCTGGAGAGCAGTTGATGGTGACCTGAACGTTACCTACTGGAATTCGTTAGTTATTTAGATTGTAGATACGTATTTAATTTTAATTTAATTTCAGCACGATTAAAATCATTAAATGCACCTCGTGTGAAGAACACCGAATCTATAAGCATGATACACTTGTTTTACTGATTCTTAGTCTCGCCATAGAATTTGACTTAAAAATGAGTCTCGTCCCTTTATAATATCAAAAAGACTAAATATATTTTGCGGTTAGAGTTGTATCCATTGCTTCGACAAAAAGTTATGTGGTTGGCAAGGTGTCACTAATATTTGACTACATGACGTATTATACTCACAATGTGTCACTAATATTTGACTTTCACTAATATTTGACTACAGGACGTGTACCCACAATGTGTCACTAATATTTGACTACAGGACGTGTACCCACAATGTGTCACTAATATTTGACTACAAGACGTGTACCCACAATGTTTCACTAATATTTGACTACAGGACGTGTACCCACAATGTTTCATTTATATTTGACTATAGGACGTGTACCCACAATGTTTCACTAATATTTGACTACAGGACGTGTACCCACAATGTGTCACTAATATTTGACTACAGGACGTGTACCCACAATGTGTCACTAATATTTGACTACAGGACGTGTACCCACAATGTTTCACTAATATTTGACTACAGGACGTGTACCCACAATGTTTCACTAATATTTGACTACAGGACGTGTACCCACAATGTTTCACTAATATTTGACTACAGGACGTGTACCCACAATGTTTCACTAATATTTGACTACAGGACGTGTACCCACAATGTGTCACTAATATTTGACTACAGGACGTGTAACCACAATGTTTCACTAATATTTGACTACAGGAAGTGTATCCACAATGTTTCACTGATATTTGACTACAGGACGTGCACCCACAATTTTTCACTAATATTTGACTACAGGACGTGTACCCACAATGTGTCACTAATATTTGACTACAGGACGTGTACCCACAATGTGTCACTAATATTTGACTACAGGACGTGTACCCACAATGTTTCACTAATATTTGACTACAGGACGTGTACCCACAATGTGTCACTAATATTTGACTACAGGACGTGTACCCACAATGTGTCACTAATATTTGACTACAGGACGTGTACCCACAATGTGTCACTAATATTTGACTACAGGACGTGTACCCACAATGTGTCACTAATATTTGACTACAGGACGTGTACCCACAATGTGTCACTAATATTTGACTACAGGACGTGTACCCACAACGACGACCTGAATACCAAGGTTACTAACACAGTACAGGACTGGTGGAGGGTTGACCTGTTGGAAGTATACCACGTGACTAGAGTTGTTGCTTACAACCGACTGGGATCTCCTCTCAAACTTAACAGGACCCGGGTAAACAAATCTCTAATTGCATACAGTAACTATATTAGTTTAGCTATACTTTAACTAAACTACTAATTTAACTGTACTTGCTAATTTAGCTATTTAAACTTATTTCATCGAAGTCATCTTGACTAGATTCAATCTTTTAATGAGATTCATATCTCTATAGCTGATGTAGTTTTAAAGACACCTAAAATAACATATCCCAGGTGAAGGTTGATGGAGTGGAGTGTGAAGATAGCCTTATAACGGTAACTCCAGACAACACCACAAAGAAGGAAATGGAGATTCCCCTGAAATGCAACAGAACAGGAAGAGTGGTCTCTTTTGAGATTCCGCCAGATCCGCGGGAGATTGTTCAGCTAAACCTTTGTGAGGTCCTGGTATTTGGCTACAAGATATCAGGTTACTAGGTTACTAGGTTATAAGCTGGTTACTAGGTTACTAGATAGTTGCTAGGTTACTGGATGGTTGATAGGTTACTATAGCTATAAATACTTCTAAGGCCAGTGACAGGTTACTAGAAAAGCATTCCATATATGTTTCTGCCAAACGCTTCGATGCTCCAGCGAAGCCATTAAATGGTTTATATGTATTGTGTATTTTGCCGACGATAAATCTGACATCCTTCATTTTTAGCCAGTACTTTTGGTAATTAAATACCACAATTACATGACATTGCCCACTTATTCACACTTTTTCGCCCATTTTCGCCCATTTTCGCACATGAAATGTTGCTTGAATCTCATCTGCGAAATTTTCAGCGGAAGACCGAACACCATCAAGATCTTCTATAAATGGGAGTTAGAAGATAATCTTGTTCTTATCAGTGGGGAGGGTTTCGCTCAGGGAGCGGTCTGTGACAGTTGGATGAACATGTCACACATTGAATTAGACTTGATTTGTCAGTCGTTAAACTTTGATGAAGCGTATGCTTTCTGGACAGCTAATCTACCCTTAGAGAGGTTTGTCTGGTATATTAGTATATTAGTTTGTTTACAAACAGTTTTTCAGATATTTGTTTTTCAAAAGCCGACTTCTTTAACATTTAAATGTACATGTATCTTGGTCTATACAATCCGTGTTTGTATTTAGGATTTGATTGATAAGGTTGGTTAAAATTTGGGAGAGAGAATCTGGAATTTGTATACAAAATATGTAATTTTTCAATCATCATTTAAACCGATTTTTCGATCAACCTTTCAATCGACCAATGAAGAGTGAGGACAAATAAACGTAAATTTACAGGAAGATTAAATTTAACGTGGATCATATAAATTGCGAAAATGGAACGAAAGACATTCTCGACTGCAAATTGTCAGGATGGAAACCTAAATCTTACTGCCTTGAAAGTGATGCGATGCATATTTCCTGTACCAACAAAAGTAGAGATGAGTACAATGGTAAGGTTCTATCAACTTTTTTAATCGGTTTCAATGGGTTTTTATTGATTTTTAATGCATTTTAAAATATTTTTACTTGAAATAATTAAAATCAGCTTTATGTTAAGCCGGATTTTTGATCTAGGCCTTTACATCAAAATTTAACGTCCTAGTTTGAATATTTGTTTGGCATTTGGACAAATTGGCAAAAAAATTTGTTAAAATTTGAAATAGGTAAAATATGTTAAAATTGTTAAAATAAAGTAATAGTAAACTATCCCAGGTACAGAATGTAACGTTGCAAACGAGGAAGGCTTCCTGAAAGAAAAGTGTGTCTCAGAAACTAAACGTGTTTATTTCAAGTGTCCATTTGAGGAGGAATATTACGAGATACAGCAAAAGTTTCTTTGTAATACCAACCCGCACTTCACGAACGACACCACAGGTAAAAATAAAATAGCTACAATATTATTGCAAAAGCGAAGTTATCGTCGATTCCATCATTAACAAATGGTCAAGCTTGCAGTCTTGCAAATGTATCTAAATTCCAAAATCCGCAGAATATTGTTACAACCTGACAAAAACCTGTAGATACAACAAAACTCAGATGTGCGGAGTAGATGGAAACAATGCAGACAAGGGTAGGTGCATGGTAATCTGCCCCACAAGTAGCGGCCCCTCAACAGCTCTCCCGACCAGGTACATATGTAATGAGAGGAGGATTGTGATGATGGAGCCGATGAGTGGGATTGTAAAGAGGAGCTGAACGGAAGCGAGCCGTGCACGCTGGACTCTTCTATCAGCGTATCTGCTGATGTTCTGAAGAAAGTGAGATGCGACGAGTCGTATTTCTACTGTGGAGGGGGGTTCTTCTACCTCGATGAAGATGATGGATATTGCAACCATTCAACAGGACAAATAGTAAACTTTTCTAAGCCAAGCTGGATTAAAAGTTGGTGGCTTCATCCTTATTATACATGTATTGAAAGCGAAGTAAACTTATGGGATCAAAAAGGATGCAAGGATCCAGGCGGAACCCTCGGTCCAGACCAAGGTATTCGTTGTAAGAGCGCTTTAATTAGCTCGCAGGAAATATACGTTCCACCTTTTAACATGTGCACCAACCCCCGATTTGCTGACGGCGGAGAATACCATCCTTGTGAGAAGTGGGAGGAACAAATGAACTGTCAACTGGGCAAAATAAACGAAGCTCTGATGTGCAGAGTGAACGGGGAAAATACGAACATCACCAAATACCTGATCTGTGGTAGGGGTGAAACCTGTGATGATGGTATGGATGAGAAGTGCACAAACTTTACTACAGTTTCTAATGAGCACTGTGGTATACATAACCATTCCATATGTGATGGAGTAAATGATTGTCCTTTAGGAGTGGACGAAACTGACTGCAATGCTACAACATATAAAAACATTGCATGTCAGCGCAAAGTCCATTACCATCATGATACCAAGTTTATTCCACTCCTTAAATCTTTTGTAATGGACGGAGTTCATGATTGCATCGACGGTAAAGATGAGAGTAAGGACTTCTTTCAAGAATGCGGCCAAGAAAACAGAAAAAGATGGGATGCTAAAACATCAACCTGCAGTGAAATGCTCAAAATCAGCAACATACCGGAGGATCAAAGGTATTTGAACATGAACAACTTGTGCGACCACGTGTCTGACTTTGAGGGAGAGAAGGCCATGTGTTACATCAGTAGAGATTATGCAAACTGGTGGACGGACACTATTACTCATGCTGGTAGAATATTCGTGCCCCCGTGTGTGCCCGACCTCCTTAAGTACAGTCAGATTTTTAGCTGTGCTGAAAAAGTTCCTCGTGTTGATATAATCGGCGTAAAAATGAAAAATATAATTCATTCAGAAGTAAAAAGGCATTGTTCATTTTTATATGGCAACCTATATTTGTTTGCATCATGCAACAACTTGTGTACTGAAGAAGGTGTACAATGTATGTATAAGTATGGCGGTATAAGTGACTGTTTGGAAGCAAGCTTTGAGACCACCAATACATTAAAAAGAAACAAAACAAGCAGCATGTCCGAAATCATCAAGGTGTCACCAAAACCAGGTTCACACTCACAGTACCTCGACAACGTGTTCCCATGTAAAAGTGGGAAGTGCATTGCAAGGGACAAGGTTTGTGACCTAGCTGATGACTGTGGAGATGGGTCTGATGAAGACGGGTGTATTAATCAGTTTACTTGTGTGACCAGCGGAGAGAGACTCATTCTAAGTAAGCAGTGTAACGGGATCATGAACTGTGTAGATTTCAGTGACGAGTGTGGAGATCAGTGTGAGAACGCCCAACGTCGGATTATTTCCAGCGCTCATCTGAGAACTGCTTCGTGGCTTATCGGGGTAGGATCTACAGTCATCAACATCCTAGTTCTTATCAAGTCCGGGGCACAGCTCACTCGATTGCGGGGATTCTCTGTGGTATTTAGGGACAACTTCTTGATCATGTTGATTGCTTTTGGGGACTTGTTAGTCGGGTCGTATCTCCTCCTTATTGCAATAGCCGACTACATAATAGGAGAGAGATATTGTAAAGAACAATTTAAGTGGAGGGGTGCTTCTGAGTGTTTATTTCTTGGAATTTTAAGTTCAGTAGGGTCCCAGATATCCCTCTTCACCATGACAACCCTGAGTATTTACAGAGTCTACCGTATAGGTCATGTCTTCCAATCTAACATTTTATCCAAGAAGTGGGTTACGCTGACTGCAGTTGTTTGTCTTCTGACACTCCTCATTTCAGTTCTTCTCAGTGTCATACCAATAATGAGTCAGTTGGAAGATTTCTTCATAAACGGTCTAAGCTACGAAGAAATAACACTGTTCGTTGGAATGATCAATAAAAATATCCATGCTGATGTGATAAAGCAATATCAAGGTAAAATTAGACTACGATATAATGATGGGCAACCTAACATGTCATGGGAAACGATACGAAGGTTCATAGGAGAGATGTTCTCCAATGATCATGGAGGAGTTCAAGGGAGAGGCATAGGCTTTTACGGGAACTCAGGAGTGTGCCTTTTTAAATACTTTGTCACTGAAGATGATCCCCAAAAAGTGTATTCTCTCTCCGTTCTATTTATAAACTTTTTCTGCTTCATTATCATCACCATATGCTACATCATAGTGCTCATCATATCCGGTTATTCCAGATCCAACTCAAATAATAGATATGCAACCCAGATGAACACAGCTCTACAGAGAAAGATAAGCATCATAATCCTGTCTGACGCTTGTTGTTGGATTCCTTTTATTACCATAGGGCTCCTACATTTCATGATGGTGGTTGATGCTTCCCGTTACTATGATTTCTGCTCAATAGTGATTCTACCGGTTAACTCTTTGATAAATCCCATTATTTATCACTCTGAATTTAAAGAATGGCTGAGATTATTCGTAGGACTTTGGAACAGAGTTTGTACCAGAATAAGAGAATTGCTACCTTTTATCCCTAGCGCGAGGGTTAATGATGAGATTGTGCAAATACCAGAAGCAAGAACTACCCATATCAACCTTACTGTGCCTGGAGAGGTATCAAGTTCCAGAGGGGAAAGGGTTTCTCTGAATGTTATTTTGCAGAAACCAATAAATACAACATCATTCATTTCTGAGGCTCAAGATGACGCTGAAAAACGTCCAGATGATGTTGGAATACGTTCAGATGATGTTTAAATACGTCCATATGATGTTGAAATACGTCCAGATGATGTTGGAATACGTCCAGATGAAGAATGGAAATGATTTTTGATTGAAATGTGTTATGTGGTCATAATGCATATAGCTATGTAGACTGGTTGTTACAAATCATAGTACACATTATGTTAATTTTTGGTGAACTAATAACTTTGAAATATTTTAATTTGAACGTCATTTGTACCCTGGCCTCGTGAGTTCATGACTCAAGAACAAAGAACAAAGAAAACAGTTATGTGTAATTATATTAAGAAAGCGTATGAAGTTAAAACCGCACAATTTTTTAAATCAAGACACTTATTTTAGTTTTACTTCGGTGTAATACAACAGCCACATTGTTACACAAGTGCAACTAACCAGCCAATTACAGGGAGCCGAAGGATTTATTTGGCCAGTGACGGTTAAAGTAGTGTGTACCATACTTTCTTCGCCCGAGACTTTGCTGCAATGTGCAGCTGATCCTCATTTAACCCTTACACCCGATTTCTCGAGTAGTCGGCTGAGTAGACCGGGGGGCTGCATATACCATTAACGGGTGATACTCGTAAAATATCTGTTCGGCGCGCGTCCTGGTAGGTTGTAAACCTACAACATATACCACTCAGGATCCTTAGCTGAACGTCAACGACGCTCACCCCACGACTAGGCAGACAGTGGGATTCGAACTCGCAACCTTACGATTTGCAAAGATGGCGTTCTCAGTTTTAACCAACTGCGCTACGTACCTAGTGACCGTTTAAAATTCAACAAACGTTCATCCCATCCCAAATTTAATTGACGATGTCAATTCATGGCAGCTCGGCGCGGCACAGTAGCGTATCTCGCCGATCTAGCCAGAGAAGCCTCACTATGAAGCCTCATTGAGTGCGCGGCGTGGCACAGTAACGCATCGCGCTACAAATCCCAAATCAAAATCCGTTGTGATAAAAACTAAAGTTTCTAATCTACACCATACTCATCCCTGCACAAAACTTATCACAATTTGACTAAGTTCATTTCCAGCTTCTAATAATAATACCTTGTAGGTTTATAACCTACCAGTACCAGGACGCGCGCAGAGCTAGTTGGACTCGTCGACGGTCAATATATATTATGGAACAAATATTTTACGAGTATCACCCGTTAAGCTAATGTCATTTATGGAAGCGCATGTGTGTCAAAAAAATAATGATACACATGCGCTTCCTAGGTAGCGTATGTGTGTCAAAAATTTTTTTGATACACATGCGCTAGCAGGTTTATCATGTAAATCATTATGTGGCCCATGTGTGTCATTTTTGTAAAATTGCTGTAAAATCTCTATTCAATATTCTAATCGCTATCTTGATCTATTTATATATGTATTTTATCCTTATCTCTATTTTATCTTTAAACTCCTCTCCGCCGATCGCCTCCCGTGTGAAACGAGCGCGCCTGCACGCTGCAGTGGCGCGAAAGCACATGGTTAGGTTAAAGCGCGTGTACTGTTGCTGCACAGGCTATAATGTTAACTGACGATGTCAATTCATCGCAGCTCGGCAAGGCACAGTAGCACATTTCACCGAATTAGCGTTGCAAGAAGAATAATCAATAATTGAATGCGCGGCGCGGCACAGTAACGGATCGTGCTACAAGCTATAATATTTATAAACATACTCATTGGACAATGGAGCTATGGAGGAATGAAGCTGCCTGCTGCGCGTAGCATGACAGCTACCAAGAATTGCATATTGAAGCGTGTACGCCGACGCATGACAGGCAAGCTTCTGTGTCCTGGTTTCGTGCGCGAAGATCGAAATGCAATTATTCGTGTATCAAGCCAACTGCCAAGTGCCAAAAATGTGTTTATTGTTAGAAAAGATAATGGACTAACCCGTTTCGGGATACTTCGTAGCAACTAGCAAGCTTGCTGCGCATCGATCTAATAGTAATAATGCTTCTCGTTGTAAGGCCACCTTGTTTGTCGTTAGATATAGGCAAAATGCACCCAGCACCCCTGTGCCCTGCGGACCTCGCTGAGCTGCTATGCAAAGCGAAAAAGCAAAGACTCAATGGATGGTTATATTAGTGGTTACCCATACCGTAATGGGTGCTACATGCCTAGCATGAAATATTTACTTACTTACTTGCACTTAATTTTTGTATTATATTTATATGTTCATAATCATATAAATTCGGCGGAATGACAGGCTTGAGGCTGAGTAAACTTCGCATCGAAAAATCCAAACGAGTAACATCCGTCAACTAATAGTTATATGTAATAATTGAAAACAAACTTTGCTTGTTTACCTGAAATTAGAATTTTATACAATTAATGTAAAATCGAAGTCGTGTTTTTACCAATTTCCCTACACCATCCGGTAAATTAATTACCCTCAGCCCTTCGTTGTGCCTGTGGGCTTTAATTGACGATGTCAATTCATGGCAGCTCGGCGCGGCACAGTAGCGCATCTCGCCGATCTAGCCAGTGGGCCGATCTAGCCTGTGGGCTTTAATTGACGATGTCAATTCATGGCAGCTCGGCGCGGCACAGTAACGCATCGCACTACAACTGTGGGCTGCGCGGTCGTATCGTGGCTTTCGCCACGGTATAGCGGGGGCGAAATGAATTACAAATGAGGATCGCGACGCGTGACTTGTAAGTTTATAACCTACCAGGACGCGCGCCGAGTTGGACTCGTCGACGGTCCTGATTAATATTTGAAGCAAATATTTTACGACTACAAGTATCAGTGATACTATCACCCGTTAAAGAAAGGATTGGAAATTGAACTCGCCGGTATGTCGACAGATGATGCTTGTCTAAATTTTTTCGAAGTAACACGAACAACTTTCTTTTCGAAGCGAAATGTTTGTGTTACTGGCCGGGCGGCGCTCAGCCTGTGCCTTTTCAATGTCATTCCGCAACCCACAACCGTTTATCATTTACGAACGAATAAAAAACAACGTCAATATTTTACATGTCACAGTAAGCTGGCAGTACGGCCCAGTTAATAAATTGTGCATCGCGCCGATCAAGAAAAAAACATTATTTGATGCGCTGATCATGTCAGTCTTCTAAGACTAATAATATAAAACATCGTTTCTTTTGTCCGTGATTGCCTGTACTGCGTGAAAATTACAAAATAATTACAGCACATTTACAAAATAAGAATAATAAAAAAGGAAACGTGTTTTCTCGTTTGTAATTCATAATTATTTTTAGAATAACGCTTTATTGTTAATGCAATCATAGTGGTCAGCTAGTGACATGGCTATGACGCCTTTTTCTTACATGGTTATGACATGGTTATGACATGGTTATGACATGGTTATGACATGGTTATGACATGGTTATGACATGGTTATTGGTTATGACATGGTTATGACATGGTTATGACATGGTTATTGGCTATGACATGGTTATAACCAAAACTCCGACCAATTTTGAACCATTATGAGCACTTTCAGGATACAATTCATTTCCGTTCATTTCCGTTCATTTCCGTTCATTTTATGAACCTGGGTCATTTTGTGCGACTTTTGAGGCCTAGTTTATGACACTATCTATCATAGAAAACCGAATTAGGGGTTCCCAGCCCTTACGTAATAAGTCTCAAATTTAAATGACACACATGCGCCACCTATTGATTTACATGATAAACCTGATAGCGCATGTGTGTCAAAAACAAAAGTGACAGACATGTGCTACCAGGTTTATCATGTAAATCAATAGGTGGCGCATGTGTGTCATTTCAATTTGAGACTTATTACGTAAGGGCTGGGAACCCCCAATTCGGTTTTCTATGATAGATATTGTCATAAGCTAGGCCTAGAGGTCATCGAAAGTCGCACAAAATGACCCAGGTTCATAGAATGAACGGAAATGAACGGAAATGAACGTAAATGAATTGTATCCCAAAATTGCTCATAATGGTTCAAAATTGGTCTGAAGAGTTTGGTTGGCCCTAGGACCACCCTATGACATGGTTATGACATGGTTATGACATGGTTATGACATGGTGATAACATGGTTATTGGCTATGACATGGTTACAACCAAAACTCCTTCAGACCAATTTTGAACCATTATGAGCACTTTCAGGATACAATTCATTTCCGTTCATTTCGTTCATTCTATGAACCTGGGTCATTTAGTGCGACTTTCGAGGCTTAGTTTATGACACTATCTATCATAGAAAACCGAATTAGGGGTTCCCAGCCTTTACGTAATAAGTCTCAAATTTAAATGACACACATGCGCCACCTATTAGTATTCATTTACATGATAAACCTGCTAGCGCATGTGTGTCAAAAACAAAAGTGACATGGTTATGACATGAATATTGGCTATGACATGGTTACAACCAAAACTCCTTCAGACCAATTTTGAACCATTATGAGCACTTTCAGGATACAATTCATTTCTGTTCATTTCGTTCATTCTATGAACCTGGGTCATTTTGTGCGACTTTTGAGGCCTAGTTTATGACACTATCTATCATAGAAAACCGAATTAGGGGTTCCCAGCCCTTACGTAATAATTCTCAAATTTGAATGACACATATGCGCCACCTATTGATTTACATGATAAACCTGATAGCGCATGTGTGTCAAAAACAAAAGTGACAGACATGCGCTACCAGGTTTATCATGTAAATCAATAGGTGGCGCATGTGTGTCATTTAAATTTGAGACTTATTACGTAAGGGCTGGGAACCCCCAATTCGGTTTTCTATGATAGATAGTGTCATAAGCTAGGCCTAGAGGTCATCGAAAGTCGCAAAAAATGACCCAGCTAGGTTCATATAATGAACGGAAATGAACGGAAATGAATTGTATCATGAAAGTGCTCATAATGGTTCAAAATTGGACTGAAGGAGTTTCGGTTGTAACCATGTCATAACCAATAACCATGTCATAACCATGTCATAACCATGTCATAACCATGTCATAACCATGTCATAACCATGTCATAACCATGTCATAACCATGTCATAACAATGTCATAACCATGTCATAACCATGTCATAACCATGTCATAGGGTGGTCCTAGGGCCAACCAAACTCTTCAGACCAATTTTGAACCATTATGAGC